CCCCAAAACCCCAAAACCCCAAAACCCCGTTAGTATCTATGAATATTGAAATATCCATAATATTTTCCTCTACATCCAAAGACATTTCGGACAATAGGTCATTACCGAGGTTGGGCTACCTGGTAGAGATAGAGCTGAATGCAGTTATTTTAGAGGAATTAGCTATTACTCCTTGCATAGAATCCTCTTAGTGATTAACTCTCCTTCCAGTATGATAGAGGTACTAAATGAGAAAATATTTATGATTTAATGTTAAAATTCCAGCTGATGTTATTTCTCTTGGTTTTGACAGTTAATTTGAAATCATGATGTCGGATCTTTATGAACTGGCTCTTCTAGATTTGAGCTTCTGGAATAAATTTATGCTGAGGTTAATCTTATTTATATTTCTCGAACTCACAGAATCATTTCTGGTTCCAAATGATGCTATCTTAGGGTCCTAAAGCTACTAAAGTTTCAAATTTACTTTCAAAGTAATCTTTTTAACAAGACCAGTGCCACTTTTATTCATCCTTCTCCTCATACGATTTAGGAGCTCACTAATTCATTGATTTTTGAATGGGTAATGAGCAGCTTTAAGTTTAAGCTTAGTAGATCTATTATAATTTCTTCTATGAGCAATGAGGTTTTTAATCTTCACATTGGAGAACCTCTTATTAAGCTCAATACTGACCTTGGCTGGCTCAATTTCCTCCTCAGGTCAAGTCTGGACCTGGCAGTCAACCATCCCACTTCTTGATGTAGAGTAATCTATAATAATAGTGCTAAGAATTCTTCAAAAACCTTCACATTAACATTAGCGGACATATTAGAAACTGATTATTTACTCTTTGTGTTTATACTATTGTCTATAATTTTCATTGATGATGAAACTATCATCAAGTCTGAAGGATGATTGATTGTCCTATTTAGACCTCCTTCTGAACCGGAGGGTTGGTAGTAAACTCTCTTTGGACCTCTTGCCACTAAGATGTTATATCCTCGCTTACATCTTTAGGTGAGGGGTCTGAGATAAAGGATCCATGCTTCTGCGAGCAGATCTGAGTCATAATTGCTTTTGTCTGCTTTTTAAGGTGTTTGATTGGTATTTTTCTCGAATTTTATTGAAATCCATATTTATAACAGAGTTCTATATATAATCTCAAAAAGGGGTTTTGGGGTTTTGGGGTTTTGGGG